GCGTTTGCCGAGCATCGTTGGTAGGTCTTCAAATTCTCTTTTGTACTTTGAATTCGCAAACCTTCCATTAAAGCTTGTATATAATTTGTACACATTATCTTGCTACAGTAGGGATATGTTTGGGTCTTGCTTAACTGAGGCCCCTCTCGTGCATTCTCTGATTTAGATGTTGTTATGATGGAAGAAGACTTCGATATCTTGAAGGTCTATCATTTCCTCTGTCTCTCTCTCTCTCCAATGCATATGTGATATGTGTAATTACGTCTGTGTTCGGGGCATAAATAGTGATGGCCGAAATTTTTTTTGGTCCAGTGGAGATGGCCTCCCTCATTCGGTGGTGGAGCCAAACGCAATAGAGGAATATGCTTGTAAATAGGCTTGTCATTGGTGGGGATTTAATCTCTACTCCTTGTTAATAGGCTTGCTTTCCTTAGTTGGATCAGTTTAGGTGTCAATAGAGGAATTCTTTTTTTGGACGTAATGGTATTAATAAATTAGGTTTGTTTGGCGGTCTATATAAAGGGACGCCAAGCCTAGAGTTTACCTTGTAAAAAATAACTCCTGCCGTTTTCCCTGGTGACTTTAGCAAAAGTAAGGCTTTTCTTCTGTGCTGGCGGGGAGATAAACTAATTGCAATGGAGAAATCTCGGTACAGTGCAACAACTAAAATAGCTCTTTCTTTTGGTCGTTTGTGCTGTTCCTTTCTTACAACCCTTTTCCTTTCATGTATGTTCTTTATTCGCTCCTTAAGCCGCTTTGACTTTTGTTTGTTTATGACTTTTGTTTGTTTCATGTATGTTATTTCTTTTGTTTTGTTGTTTAGCATGTCGAGGCATGATACTAAGAAATATGTTGGATCCATAACGACTACCTTTGGAGCCATGGAGACGACGTTCAATGAGTTGTACGATAAGATTAAATCTTTGACTGCAATGATAATGAAAACTGATACTGAATTTCAAGTGCTAAAGAGGCTGTCGAAACGCATTCTTGATGAAGCATCTGGAAGTTCACCTCCCACTGATGTTCCTGTCACGCCTACCGTAAAAAGAGTTTATTATATTGATTCAAACCCAGACTCAGATCGCGATGGCGATGGTTCACACAAGAGGCAAAAATATGCGGTCACGGAAGATCTAAATGAGTCAGTGAAGGTATATAGAATTTATTTAAACAATTTGCACTTGTGTCATTTTAAAGTGTTTATGATGTACCTATGTATTGTAATTTTTGTTAAATTCAAATCGTAGATGGAATTTCCGGTGACTGCATCTGGAAGTTCAGCTCCCACTGTTGTTCCTTTCACACCTAGCGTAAACGGAATTATTTATATAGATTCCGACTCAGACGCAGATGGCGATGATTCACACAAGAGGCCAAAAAATGCGGCTGTGGAATATATAAATGTATCGGGGAAGGTATATAGAATTTATTTAAAGAAATTACACCTGTGTGATTTTAAAATGTTTATGATGTACCTATGTATTGTAAGTTTTGGTAAATTCAAATCGTAGGTGGAATTTCCGGTGACTGCAATAATGGAGTTAGATAATGATGAGGATCGTTCCATTGCGTGTTTCATCTTTGGTGATGGTCTAAAAGATGATAAATGGCTTGTTGAGAATTTTGGCCATAGTTTAAGTCGTCTAGAACTGAAGGACTTGCTTCCAGAAACGTGGCTTCATGGTTATGTAAGTATTTTGTAGTTCTGTTTTGGTAAGGCATACTTGACCACATATTAGCTATACTAATCTTTGGTTTTGCTTATTTTAGATTTTGACTGCTGTAGCTTGTAAATTAGCTGTTGATGTTAGGGCTTGGGGGAAAAATGGACCTTGGTACCTTCCATCCAATTTTGAGGTAAGCAACAATTATGGAAAACTCTTTACAGTAAGTTTACTTTTTTCTTTCTCCCAAAGTTGAATAGTGAATGTGAACTGCTACCCAGGATTTGGTTGTGAAAATGGGTTGGACTCCAAAAAAAGCCGTGGAAAATTATAAGAACCTATATCTTTGCGGCACCTTTGAATGCACCAAGGTATGGTGTAATAATATTAGCAATTTTTCCAGGGTACTATATTCTCTTAATGTTTTGCCTTTTACTGTATAGTTCATTCATTCTTTCGTCATCATTTACTTGTTTATTTATTTCAGATATATTTGCCAATGAATGATGAGAACCGCCATTGGTTTCTTATTGTGGTTTTCATGGACCAAAAGGTAGTGCATGTAGTGGACTCTTTGCGTACTGATTTGGGTTTGCTGGAAAATCGTAAGAAAAGGGTGCAAGGAATGGTGGGTGATCAAACTATTCCCTTCGTGTAAATTTAGTAAGTCAATTTTCTTTTCTTTTTTTAAATTTTGTACTGTAATAGTTACGTGGTTAAGTTTGTTGTTACAGTTGAAATTCTTTTACAAGATGCTTCAAGAATTTCCAGACAAGCCATCAACCTATGAAGTGCCCAAAGTGCATAAGTTCCAAATCATAATTCCTCCATACGTTTCTAAGCAAATTGATGAGTTAGTATTTCTTTGAGTATTTTGATTATTTCATTTCGATTCACAATCTTATTTTCAATAATAAATGCTATTTTTCCACGTAGCTATGAGTGCGGGTTTTACGTCTGTCAGTGGATGTTGCACGGAGAGGCTGATGATAATTCGTATACGGCGGTATAATACAATCCTTTCCTTCTAAATATGATTCCATCCACGTGAGATTCTACATTATCAAATCGAAATCAACATGTTAAGAGTAATGTTATAAATTTGTTGCAGGTTTGTAGTAATAGAGGTCGACTAGCCTTGGCCATAATTTTAGTCAAAGATCTCTCAAATACAAGGCGCTCTCAAATTATTGATGAAGCAAGGGCCGTTTATGAAAGACATTTCAAGGGGAAAATCAGCTCAAAATGCCAAAAGAGTTTATTTGATTCATTTTAGAAAAGTAGTTTTTGTTTTGTTTTATTGGTAGTCGGTCGGATTTATACTTTTATTGGTAGTCGGTCGGTTTTACTATCAATTTGATCCCAATTGAATTCATTTTAGATTGGTTTTGGTGTTTACCTTTATTTTTTGTTAAATCCGAATGTTGGTTCTCGTTTTTGTCGCTTTGTTCCTGATGCTTGTTCATCTGAGATAAGGCTTAAAGAAGGCGCCTAGGCATGAGCCTTAACTGCCGTGATTTCATTATGGGATTGAAGGGACTGGTATTGTATATAAGAAGACGACTTTGACCTTTCGTCTGTTCAGTGGGCTTTTTTGTTTATCTTTATTTCGTCCCAAAACACGCGCCAATTCTTGGCTTTGCCCTTTGGATATCTCATATCTTGCCACCGGAGGACGCCGGAGATGTATGCGTTCATCGGAGCAAATCTAACCATGTTGGATCCAACAAATAGCTTCAATAACAAAATTTTAACCCAATAACAAGTGTTTTTAGTTGCTCAGAGCTGGATCGTATCGAGATAGTGGTAGAGATAGTGGTAGATTGATAATGTATATATAGTATGTTCTCCAACTAGACCCTGTAACTTAAAGTCAGTTACAACTAATTTGTCTTTAAATCATAGCAGGACAACTAAATATCGTCAGAAAGTCAAAGAGGTTCAAGGGTATTGTTTTGGTTCTCAACGAACATGAAAAGGGAACGAGACAAGCAGACAATTCAAACAATTCAAGGGTATTGTTTTGGTTCTCAACGAAAATGAAAAGGGAAACAAAACTAGAGTACTGGCAGGACAACTAATCAACCAAAAAATTCATAAACGTTTGCAGGAACCAATATCCAGAATATACTAGTGCAGGAGAAATGAACCACTATCTCCCTATGAATCTTCTAGTTCTGGATTACGCTCTTTTGGCTTTCTTCCTTGTACCTACGAGTCTGGGCAACAAATCTCGATGCATTCCTATTTGATTCCTCGATGACGACATGTCTTATGTAATTTGTAGGCTGTTGGACCAGATATAAAGCTATTTGCATTCTCCTTATATCTCCGCATGGCTGCAACAGTTTGACAATGACAATGAGGCTTAGTAGCTGTTTCGAAAGGTTGTTTTCCTTCAAGGCCAAGTAGGAGAATTCTTGCTTACCCATATATTATAAGAAGAATCCCAAGATGCACCCATCATCCATGAGCACACCCAAACGCCACTATCAGACCTACATAAAATAAGATGCAGCATATGAGTTGTGGGTATCTAAGTATGTTTCTAATTTATTCACAACGAACAATTCTTACTCGTGACGTTGTTCGGGAATTGAAGGAATTGTCAAAGAAAATTTTTCCAGCACAGGTGGATCAAGTGTTGGTTCCACTTGCCGATAAAGATCCTCAAACAAGCCATCAAGAAATTCGATCTGCATAAGCAGTAATCAATTTATTCGAAATAGATGAAAACACAAATTATTCGGATCAGGAGGTCAAACCATACCATAGTTACTACTGCGTTTCTACGAGATCTTTGGCGCTTTTTAGAAGGATACGAATCCAAAATATGGACTTGTTTGTCATCCAGCATAATGACAGCTAAATACCAGTGAACTGCATCACCGTCCATTGCATCTTTCATGGGCAGACACACCTAAATAACGACGAGAAAGACCAAACTCAGCTGAGCATTGTAAAATACAATTTACAGAAATATCAAAAGCTTGATGGAGCATCTAATTTATTCGCATATCCAATTCAAACAGTAGCTAGAAACAATAATTGAGGAATATTTCAATGCAACAAGAAAGGACTTGTTAAGAAGAAACCTTTCTGCACGTGTGAGCTCTTGCCAAGAACTTTGGACCATAACACTCTAGAGCTTTTTTTGATGTCATGCCATAGTTAATCACCATTTCCTGATCATGGTTCATTTAAAAGCCTAAGATAACACATTTAATAGGAGAAACAGAATATTGCACCTAAAATAAATATATAAAGTAAATGGGACTATACTTGTAGTTCAGCAGGTAGATAACAGACTACTCTTCCATCTCCAACATCCCTCCAAACTTCCGCCAGGCTCAATTGGCAAGCCATGGCTGTAATTACATCATCAGCGACATTAGACTTAGGGCAGAGGGACCACAACACCTGTCGTGTATAGGATTGCATCATGGTTTCGACCAGGACTTCCTTTTCTGGAAGATCCTTCGCAAATATGTAGTGGGCAAGGTTCACTTCCTCTCTAGTGTACTTGAGAACCGTTGGAAGTGTAAACTTTGTTTCACCCTACAATAGAAGAAGAAACATAAGGATAAAAACAATTGATTTTGTTCTAAGCGGGGAAAATTGGAAGGCTAGATTATCATACCTTCTTGGCGAATTGCAAGTAAGAAAATCTGGTACGGCCTTTCCTAACTAAGTCATTCCAATCTGCCTGCAAATCACCATCAATCTGGATCACACCATCTTCAGTTCTACCTTTCTTTCCTCGAGATTCATCCTTCTCCGGCAAAGAATTCATCGTAATAAAAACACAATGCCTTAATTCAGTTCTGCCAACGATGGAGAAAAGGGGAAAAAAAGAATGCAAATTGACGAACCATTAATTTGGAAGAACTTCTGGTTTTGCGTTTTGTCATCATCCTGCCGTCCTTATCGTTCTGCATATTGCTCCTGGTTTCTGCCCCCTGACCGAGCTCCTGTACTGCTGTCCTGAACGAGCTCATGGTGAATGCAGAAAAGGAGTTAGCAATCTTGGAAGCTTGAGAGGGAAGGAGCACGACAAGGAAGGAAGCAAGAGGTCGACGACAAAGGAAATCAGCCGGTGTACAGCGTGAACGGGTTGAAAGCAGGTTTCCGACCTTCTTATTCTTTCTTGCTCGACGGCGAGAGTGACAGGCTTCTTCCACGATGTAGAGAGGAGACGACGCAGGTGGGTTTGGGCTTCCTTCTTCTGCTTCTACCTTTTCCAGCTTGGCTGGCGGCGACTGGCGGAGCAGAGATCGGAATTCGCAAAAGCAGCAGAGCGATGGTCACCAATTTTTTAGTGATTGGGGTAAAATCGACATTTCACTGGGGTTTAGGGCGTAATATTTAAAAACCTAGGGCGATAAATAGAAATTCAGATCTTAAAATAGGGCCAACCGCCAACGGGTGAGTGTTTTTCTCTATAAGGATACTGGAAACTTTATCTTCCTCATTAACCTCCACATGGAAAAGGAAAATAATATTGTATACGGGTAATAATTAACATGGAAACAATCCGCATCCCCTATTTGGGAGTTGAATCTTCCATATATAACACACAAGCATTCTTCAGTAATTTTTTTTTTCACGGTAATTCAAGCATTCTTTATTAGTTGCATTCTTTATCCAACTAATTAGCTGCATTCTTTATCCAACTATTAAAATCCGCCACTTGTCAATCTGCAACAAAGAATTAATTGCTTAATTCTTTCCTCAATTTATCTATTCCAAATTACCATCTTTGATACATCTCTCCAACTAATAATATAATAATACTAATTACTAACTAATTAACCCCTCTTTCTCTCTCGTGCTCCTTTTTCTTCTCCATCTCTACGTGCGGCCGGCGAGTAAAACTACGGCCATTAAAATTTTCAAAGTTACAACAACAGCAAAAAGACCTCTGCTTTGTGCCCGATACAGCCCCTCCCCACAAAGTCACAAACAACAAAAAGACGGCACACCAATGGAGGAAGAGGGAGATAATATCAACAACAATGAAGACAGCGATGTTCAAAACATACCAGAATCAATGACCTCTGACAGCGATGGTCCTACTGTACAGGAGGATGACACAAACGTTATTCAAAATTCTCCTTTTATCGGTCAGGAATTCAATGATTTTGAGGATGCATATGCGTTCTACAACAACTATGCTAAGAGTTGGGGGTTTTCTGTCCGTCGCTCAAGGAAGGTTAAGAACGTCAAGGGAGAGGTAACAAGTGCAGCCTTCGTGTGTTCTTGTCAGGGAGTTCGAGAAAAACATAAAGGTGCACAAAAGAGGGAGTCGCCTATGGAGATCAGATTTCAGTGCATGGCTATGTTTCGTGTGAGCTTGAACAAGACAAGCAATAAGTGGGTGGCTGATATATTTAACTCACAGCACACTCATGACCCAGTTAGGCAGAATCAGGTACATTACTTGAGGTCGCATCGAGGATTAACAGAAGCAGACAAGGCAGACCTCCGATTTAAAAAGGATGCCGGAATGAAACCTTCTCAGGCCATTAAGCTTGCTGTGCATTGTGCTGAAGGGCATGACAAACTTGGGTATACAGTTAAAGATGGGTTAAATTTCAGCACCAAAGACCGCGCTGAGAGAATCAGCGAGGGTGATGCAGCAACTGCACTGGCCTATCTAGAATCAAAGAAAAGCACAGACCCACACTTCCTCCTCCGATACACTACTGATGAGGAAAAAAGGCTCCATTTTTTATTTTGGGCTGACAGCATTTGCAGAGCCGACATTTCGTGTTTTGGAGAGTTGCTCGCATTTGACACAACGTAGCAAAAAAACATTTACAATATGCCACTGGTCATTTTTACAGGTACGCCATCCTAGTATGCCCTCTAAGTATTATGCTTTGCTTTGTTGTTTAATTTGAATACACATTATGGCATCTAGAAAATAGCAAGTTTCTGATTATATGAACTCTACCATTATTTACATATTCCTACACAGTTTTAGCTTTTCTCCTACTAGTTCAAAAGATTCTGATTTTTCCGAGTTTTTGTTTGACATTGTAGGTATCAACCATCACTTCAAAACTTGCTTATTCGGGAGTGCACTGTTGCCCAATGAGACTGACGAAACCTATATTTGGGCGTTGAAGATAGTGAAGGAAATGTTGGGGGACATTCCGCTACGTACAGTTGTCACGGATGGGGATAAAGCAATGAGGAAAGCTATTGCTAATGTGTTTCCAAATGCAACACATCGGCTATGTGCATGGCATTTGTCCAAGAATATCACTGGCAGGGTGAAGAATCGACCCGACTTTGAACCCCGATGGAAGAAGTTAGTAACTGCTGAGTACGAGCCAGAAGAATTTGAGGAGAAATGGAATGCATTGGTAGAGGAATGCGAACTCCAGAACAACCAATGGGTTTCGAAAAAACTATTTGGGAGACGCAACGAATGGGCGAACACATACTTGCGCTCACATTTCTTTGCTGGGTTGACAACCACATCAAGATGTGAAAGCATAAATGCGGTTGTTGCAAGGTATGAAAATGAGAGGTTCTGTTTGCTTGACTTTTTCACTCAATACGACCGGTGGCTCAGAGACATGAGAGAGACAGAGATTAGATTAGATTTTGAGTCTAATTATGGTGTAGTTCCTATAAAGAATTCAATCCTAAAGCCCCTCGAGCAAAGTGCAGCAAAGCTTTTCTCAAAGGCTGCATTTCTTTTGTTCAAAAATGAGTTGGAGGAGGTTATTGGAGTCATTAAGGGTAACCAAACTGAAGAGGAGAACCTACACACTTACACTGTTACCATGTTCAACAAAGAGAAGGTCATAGAGGTGAAATACAACATTGAAACAAGCGATATGGAGTGCAGTTGTCAAAAGTTTAAGAGTATTGGGATACCCTGCGTTCATATGCTTTTTGTTCTCAAAGAAGAAAAAGTGAAGACTATTCCTGAAAAACTGGTACTCAGACGTTGCTCGAAGAACCCAAAGTCCCTACAAACTCTGCCAGAACCAAGTACATTGGGGGATGACAGCAGTTTCAGCATTAGGTACGGGTCGCTACAGTTCATGTCTCAACGATTCTGCTTATTAGGAGCAGACACTCCTCTCTCTTATCGAATGGCTCAAGATGAGTTGACAGCAGCGTGTAACAAGTTGGAGATGGTAAAGAAAACCCCCGCCGAGAGAGAAAGGATTGTCATACCAGACCAGTTCAAAGATGTATTGAACCCAAATCAAGTGAGGTTTAAGGGTTGTAGGAAAGGAAAAGGGATAAAACAACTTAAGAAAAAAAGAAGAAAGTGTGGGAACTGCGGGCTAAGGGATGGGCATTATAGGAGCACTTGTAAAAACCCCCCAGCCGACGTGGTAGAATCTCAATCTGATGAGGAGGATGACGACGATGACATGGACGATGATGGGGATGATGATGTGGACGATGATGGGGACGACGGAGAAGATGGAGACGACGATGATGGAGATGATGACCAAGGTGGTCAGCCCCCAAAGGTAATTAGCATCTCTGGTTAGGTGTTCTTGATATAGTTATTAGTTAATAACCTACAGTTGTTATTTTGTTTTTACCAGAAGCAACGAACGAGCAGACATAATACTACTGGAGAGCCCATAGGAAAAAGTCAGCCACAACAGAAGGTTATATATCATTTGTTTATTCACTAAATTATCGATTTGTTAGAAATGGCTATTAGCTTAAGAGTTTATTTGCCCTCAAACAGATCGGGGCACGTACTAGGAGCAATACTAGTCAACAAGAGAAGGGAGCTAAGAAGCATACAGGACATAGTGCTGGGAGTACTAGTCGGCATGATGATCGTCCAAGCGATGAACATGAACTGGTAATTTTCCAATCACACTAATGATTTAACCAGCAAGATTAGATGATTCTTTGTGTTGGAATGTACATGTTTAATATTATTTTTTTCTTATTTTGGTCTGCTACAGAAACAACATCAGACTAGAACCCGTGGTGCAAAGAACAGAAGCATCAATAAAAACAAATGAAGTTCACTAGCACTTCCAGAGCAAGAAGTTGAAACGCCCATGGAAAGCAATGACCACTTTTTATTGAGTTTACAATTTTATTATTGATTTTAGGCGACAAAATCTTTTATCTTGGTATATTTCACAAAAGTAAACTCCATCGACACTTCATATTTTTGTTGGACGAAGGGTACATTGCGGGACATGAACTGTTTGCAATTGAAAGGACATACCTGGATTTTCTTCTTTGTTCTTGTTGTTTTTTTTTTAAAAAAACGTTTGTGTGTGTGTGAAGCAGACCTGGCTAGCTAATGCCTCACGGGTTGCTCCTCAATAAACTGTCAGCATAAGAACAGGTAGATCTTTGAATCAGATGTTGAAGCCAAATATATGGAAACCCATTCATGTGTCTAACCAGTATAGCCGCCTAAAATTGTAACAGTTGCATTGGAAATGCGTAATTTACCTCCAGTCTGAAGTGCTTTATCACGCCATAGAGGGTTCTCCTCAAGAAACTTCTCAAATGAAAGTATCTTCTGTGGTATTCCCTTAATCATATCGAGACGATCAACCCCTAGCATCACCTATTAAAGAGTAGGACGTTTACATTCAAGAATGAAGAAACTAAGCCAGTGACTTTTAATCAGTAGGTTGCTTTCTCTTAAGCAAGTAAAACAGCATATGTAGTTTAAATTCAGGTTAAACCTTACGGCCACGAAACCTTTCCATCAGTTCTTTTATGTGCTCCAGCACCTTAGGGAGCTTAAGCGCTGATATAACCCTTTCTGAATCTATCCCTATTGGAAACTGAACATACAGGAGAGTGCTACAATACTTGGTCTAGTAAGGGCTTACCCTACTAAATCTGCCGCGAGAACTGAACGAAGTAGCTCTGATCTATTTAGATGACTTTTATGTTCTATTTAGATTATTTTTATGTTCTGTTTAGAACCCATCTATCAACAAAGGCCAGATCTGTCAACAAACACTCGAGGCTTAGATACCTGTTTTCGATCCCCATTACCTTGCTTGTGCTGCTCCCATTCATGGCCTCCTCGAAGCACCTTAACTCCTCGAAGTTCCTTCAAGTTCCTCCTCCTCCCCCGATTCGCAAGCCTCAAATCAACATGAAAACAAAACGAAATAAAAGAAACGAGTTCAGAAACCCAAAGTTTGGACTCGGTAATTGGGGAGTGTCCAGTCATGTGCTGATTTTTATAGGAACTCAAAGAAACGAAATGAAAACTT